TGAGATAACAATATTCTTTATATTTATACTGACAGGATAGGACAAGGCAGGGCTTAGCTACCTCTGGTGGGAAAGTGGACCTCATTTCCTCACAAAATGGTGGCACTTCCTGTGGTCTTGAGTGAGCCTTTTTTGGGTATATGTTTAAGTATAAAAACAACTGGTGAAGCAACATGGATGGACCTAGAGATTATCATACTAAGTGAAATAAGTCAAATGTCATTATGATATTCCACTTGTATGTGGAACCTAAAAAAATGATACAAATGAAGTTATTTACAAAACAGAAATAGATTCAAGGACATAAAAAACATGTTTATGACTACCAAAGGGAAAGGGAGGGATAAATTAGGAGTTTGGGATTAACAGATATACACAACTATATATAAAATAGATAACCAACAAGGACCTACTGTATAGTACAGGGAACTAGATTCAGTATCTTATAATAACTTATAATAGGAAAGAACCTAAAAATGATATATACAACTGAATCACTTTGCTGTATATCTGAATCAACTATACTTGTCAACTACAAAAAAAAAAAAAACCAAAACCTGGGTCCTCAGTTTCCTCACAGAAAAGCCAGAGAAATAGTGCTTACCTCAGAGAAGCCCACTGAGATGATTGAGTTGATTTTGTAAAGTTCAGAGCAGTGTTTTGACACATAATAAGTGCTAAATTCTTAATTATTCATTTATTCATACCCTTATCAAATATGTGATAAGCTCCTGTTGAATGTCAGTCACCATGAGATTTATATAGGTGGATCAGACTCAAACCCACTCCTTAGGGAAGTTTCAGTCCAAATTTTATTTGATGATCATTTCAACCCTGGGAGATAGTCAGGATAAATACTGACCCATTTTATGGATGATGAAGTTGAGGAAAGAGAGGTTAAACAAACAGGCTAAGGACACACAGTAAGATTGGTCAACCGAGGTCAGATAATCTGATTTCTAAGTCAGTGGGGGAAGGAATACGATATAAGTAGCTGTCTCAGATATTTCACAGAGGCCTGGACACACCAACTTCCCCATCTTCATCCCAACCTCTGTCACAGGAAATGGAGAGAATTGAAAATGACTTATTAGGATGGACGCCTAACAACTCAGAGGCTGCCTGCCTAAGCACCCATCATGATTAAACTCCTATAGCAAATGCTGTCATATTGGAAACAGCAGAAGTGACTGATAGTTCCCTATATGCATAGAGGTACCAATAAAGGAAAAGGATCATAGGAAGTGCCTCCATTCTATTATGGAAGTGAAGCCATGAAGCCCGCTTCCCTACCAGTAACATTACCTCTTGCCCTGGACTTGCTTCCACTCTGCTGGCCAGACCACAGTTACCTGGATCATGGAACGGCACCAGGACATAGTGGGTGGGCTCCATGGGGGTGCCCCGTCGCTGCTCCACAATATGACGGGCCTGGATCTTGGCAGCATTGATCTCTTCGCCCATACTGCCTGTGGTATCCAGGACGAAGCTCAGGCTGGAGGCTGGGGTGATGTCCAGCAGCCTGAGAAGCAGGCCAGAGATATGGTGCATGGCTGCACTTGTCCCCAGCCCCCGGTTTCTCAGCTCCAGAGCAACCTACCTATTAAGGAGCCCAGCTCCAGGAGGCCACTCACCTAGAGAAACTGCTGTCTCCCAGGCGGCTTCGTAGGAGGTTGAAGGCCTGGATGGAGGCCAGAAGGGCCAGTTTTGCAGCCTGGAGGTGCAGCATGTGGTGGGGGGAGAAGCCTGGGGATGTGCTATCCTTGTTGATGCCTCCCCGTGGTGGCTGGGAGCTGCTCTGGTCAAAGTGGCCCCCGTGGCTACATTTCCCTGGGTTAGGGAAACGGATCTGAAGGGTGAAGGTAAAAAACCTACTGCCTTCTAATAAAATGAAGCCCTTTCTGACTTGGCCTGACCCTCTCACTCCTCAGAAAAGGATCAGCAGAAAATTAGGGCATTTTGCAGAAGGCAAATCTGAAGTAAATCTGGAATGGTTGGTTGTTACAGCACGTGGTAGATCCTGATCCCTCAAGTAGGTCCCCAGAAGCTCCCTTGGGCATTGAAGTCTTATCAGCTCTGTAAGAAGCTGTCCTCCCTGCACTCCAACAACCATGGCCACCTCAGTGGGCCTTCAGCCAGCCACCCACCCCTTCCCAGCATCCTTTCCTTCTGAGAAATGATACCACCGGATTTTAGGACAAGGGCCTACAGGACTGAGGTCCTTAGGGAGAGGGTCAAGGGAGAGGAAGGGACTTCTCCCCTTACTCCTGGGGGTCTTCCCATCTGGTACCTGGAGGTTTGGGGGGATGAGTTCCAAAGTAGCCAGAGGTGAGGAGTGTGAAGGTCAGCAAGTTTCCAGGGCAGCTCAACTCCTCACAGTTGGAGCAGGTAGGATTGTCCACTGGGAAGAGAGGACCCATGATTCTGCTACCCCTGACATTTATCCCAGTCCACCCAAACTTCTTCAGCTTTTCCTCCCACTTAGAACAAGGTGAAAGCCCACAGGTACCCTTCATGGGTACCTTTCTAGGATTTCTGAACTAAACCCTGGAGTTCATGGCTGATCATGAGACTCGATATTTGAGACTGAGAGTGTGCTAGAAAATCATGGGGACCAATCCTATGGGGAGTGTACCCTCTGTGAGCTGTGGACAGGAAGTGTACTTGTAATAAACAGGAGGCAGCTTCTGGGTCATAGTTCAGTTGGAAGGGGGTCTGAGAGGAGAGTCCCCTGCGATCTAGTGCAGGGAGGAAACCTCATGAAAGAGAACTCCTTGTGGTCTGCAGAGCTGGTTCTGGCTCCGTCCTCCCCTGTGTGCTCTTGGGGAAGCCAGCTAATTGACTAACCTTTGATTGAACTGAGGGAACTCACAGGTTGTCTCAGATTTGAAGCCATGTCACCTCCTAGTTGACCTCAGGATGTGACCCAGTGGCTGGATGGGCTGAGAGGAGGTAGCACTGTGGGCTTCCCGCTTACCAGCAGGGGCACGGCCGTACCTTGTGCCAGGCTCCGGAGCTCCTGCCTCGGCCAGAGAAGGTGAGGGTGTGGCTGCTGCCTCCCAAGTTCCACCCAGTTGCTGTGACTGTAGAAATCCTGGTCCCAGGAGAAAGACAGGGAAGAAGCACTAGCTGACTGCTCTTGCGGTCTCCAGCCCTAACTGCCCCTCCTTCCATTTCCCCAGCCTGAACGCCTCCTCCCGCCCGGCTGCTCCTCCAGACACCCCACATCCCCTCCAGTGCTCTCTCCTTTGCCAGGAATACTGCTCTGGTGAAGTGGGAGCCTCCCACTGTTTCTTCCCATCTCACTCATAGCCCAACCCAAGGCCTTTCAGTGGCCTGCACGGCCCACCTCTGGCCCTCAGCACCCTCCTCTCACTCACTTCACTCCAGCCACAAAGGCGTCCTGGCTGTTCCCACAGAAAGCTGCCAGTTTGGACTGGTGGGGACTAGGGAATAGCCCCAGGGCCTTGGCAAGCAGGGCCCCAGCCCCTTCTAGAGTAGGGGGAGGCATGACTAAGAAAACACCCTGCGGGAGTCCAGAAGACTGAAAGCGAAGACCCCTCTGACCATGCCCCCCGACTCTGTTCTCACCTGCAGGGCATGAAGCGCAGCCCCCAGGCGCTGGCGAGCCAGGGTGTAGTCAAGGGCTCTGGCTGCCGCCACAGTCTCCCGTAGAGCCTCCACCAGGCGTGTGCGGCCCTGGCCCAGCCGCTCGGCATCAAAGTGCAGGTCAGGGTCATTCTTGGAAGTTGGCAGGAAGTCTTGGGCGGCATTGGCACGAGACACCTCTCCTAAGGCTGCTCGGAACCGTCGGGAAGGAGACCCAGGTCCAAAGTAGGCGGCAAAGAGGTCGTCGGCAAGGAGGGTGCGGCCCTGGGAGAGTGAGCAGGGGTTCCAGGGAAGCCCCTTGGTTGGGACCATTGCGCACGCTCACCCGGCTCTAGCGCTCAAGGCTGGATGTGAAAGGAGCTGAGGGTGCTGGGCCCTACAAGGGAGGGGCAGTCCTGGACGTCTATATGGAGGGGGACTCCTGATTGTTAAGACTAGGACTTCTGGGCACTGTTGCTGTCTGGAGGACAGGAGGGAATGTGTGTGGGGGTCCCTTCTCTTGGCAAGCAGGACCCTCAAGTAGCAGAGGTCCCCAGAATGGGGGAATCCGGCCGGGATGGGACTGGACCCAGGGACGCTCACCAGGAAGTCTTCAAGGCGAAGAGGGGGCCGACCTGGGGGCGGCTGCTCTAGGAAGAGCTGCAGCGTGACGTTGAGCGCCGCCTCCTCGGTCAGGTCCTGGTGGGTGATGGAGCCGGGGGCAGCCAGGAGGCTCCAGATGTTGGGGAAGAAGGCAGATGCGGGAGGCAGCAGCAGCTGCAGCAGCAGCAGCACTGAGGGGCCCAGGTGGGATAGGGGCACGTCCGCGGGGAGCATAGCTAAGACATGGACCTGAGGGACAGAAGGCACTCGAGAGAGGAAAGGAAGCAGCACAGACTTAGGGCAGGACTGGCTTTGTTTGTCTCCATGGGCACCTGCTTTGGCCCTTTATCTCCTCCGGCTGGCTTCCCCCCCCCCCCCCCCCCCCCCATTCATTCGGCAAACCTGAGGGCCTATCAGAACAATAGGAACTTACACCTGCTGGGGCGGGGTCTGAGGCTCCTCCCCCAGGACGCCCCTCCCCTCCCTGAGGCGGACGGCCCCGCCCCGGCATTGGAAGTCCCCTCTCTAGGCCTCTCCCCTACCTGGTTGCTGGGTCTCCGTTGGGCAGGACCGCGGGGCCGGGCGTCACGGGGCACTTAGGTCAGAGTTATAATTAACCTAAGGCCTGACTTAGTGGAAGGGGAGGGAGGCCCCGGCAGGGTGGGGGCAGGACAGGCAACCCCTAGCCCCTCTTCTCACGCCTGCCCAGGGCCACAAGCAGCAGCCAGCACCAGGGCGGGCCTCCCTTAGCTGCAGTGCGGAGGTGAATGAAGAGGCGGGAGGAGGAGGGAGCGAGCGCCGTGACTCAGGCCTGGCTCACGGCCAGGGCCAGGGCCAGACAGACGCACCTCTACCCACCGGGACCCAGTGCCTCATGCCCAGCCTGCTGCCCTCCCGTTGTTCACACTGGCACCTCTGAGGATCCAGGAACCCAGCCCCTCAGCACCCGCTCCCCAGCCCCACCACACACACAGCTGAGATACGGTTTTGTGGCAAAATATTTTATTGCTGCCATCCCCATGGTGGACCACTGGGGGTTATGAGGGTTGGAGTTGGGTGTTTCACAGCATCTTCTGAAATAGGGCGATGGCCTCATCAACCTTCCTGAGCTCTGCTTCTGTCTGCTGGAGCTTGGTTTCATCTGCCTCCTGGACTTTGAGGGGCACCTTGACAGTGTAGCCTGAGGTGGCGCGGCGCTCCCGCAGACGCTGTGCCTGCCGCTGCGCCTCGTCACGCTTGGCCTGCAGTTTGCCCAGCTCCCGGGCTGGGTCTACTAGCCCCTGCAGCTGCAGGTGGACGGAGCAGCGGTCAGAGGCCAGGGCCACAGCGCAGCCCTGGGGTGCAGAAGCCCCCAGCGCCAGGACAGCCACGATCCCCGCGCTGGCCAGCGTCTGCACATAGCCCGACACCGCCGATGCCAGAGCACCTGTGGCCTCGTCAGCCACTTCCAGGAAACAGTCGGGCCGGATCCGGGTGAGATTGTAGTCGGCACGCAGGGAGCGCACAGCTCGAGTGATGCTCAGGGCCAACTCAAAGGCAGCTTCTGCCTCAGGGTCCTTCCAGGAGCACTCCGAGGGCTCCGGGTAGGTGGTGACACAGAGGCTAGGGGGAGCTTGTGGTGTCCGCCGGGGCAGCCGCTGGAACAGCTCCTCGGTCACGAAGGGCATGAAGGGTGAGAGCAGCCGCAGGCCCACGTCCAGGCAGGTGTAGAGGGTCTGGCGGGCGCACTCGGCTGCCGCCTGGTCCACCCCATTCAGCACAGGCCTCAGGCACTCCAGGTAGACATCGCAGAGCTGGCAGAGCCAGAAGCTGTACTGGGCGGTGGTGACAGCTGGGAAGTCGTAGGCCTGGAAACCTTGGTTGCTGAGCCTCACAGCTTCAGTCAGCCGACTGCGGATCCAGCGGTCCACCAGGCTCTCGTGGCCTCCGGGCTCAGACGTGGGTGAAGGCACGAAACCCTTCCCAAGGCCACGGAGGGCAAACTTGGTGGCGTTCCAGAGCTTGTTGCAGAAATGGCGGTACCCCAATATCCGGTTCACATCCAGGTTGATGTCACGGCCCTGGGACGTGTAGGCGCATAGTCCAAACCGGAGTGCATCAGTGCCACACTCGGGGATCCCTGTTGGGAAATCTGCCTTCTGCCCCTCTTTCGCCTTCTCCACCTCGCTGGGATCCAGGTTGCTGTTCAGTAGCTGGTCGTGGAGGCCCTGCAGGGAGACCCCATGGATAACGTCGAGGGGGTCAATGACATTGCCTAGAGACTTGCAGAATCCCATGGATAGAGGAGCTTGGCAGGCTACAGCCCATAGTGTCGCAAGAGATGGACATGACTTAGCAACTAAACCACCACCATTGTCAAAAAATAATTGAAAAAAATTAAAAACCTAACACATTTTTCAAACAATATTTTTAAGGTACCAATATTTTGATAGCATTATAAAATAAAATAAATGAATATAACTGAGGAGAGATAAAATCAGAAACAGAATTAATAGTTTCTCAAGATTAATTTTCAATAACCATTATAAAATTATGCAAAAAATATATCTTTAATCAAATTCACAACTCTGGGTACAGGAGAGCTTCCCTAGATATTTGAATGTACACACACACAAATGATATTAGCTCTATTATAGTTCTGGAATTTTTGTGAATTTTAAAAAATTGCTAGCAGACGTGATATAAAAAAACTTTAGTATTCAGGTTAAGTCTAGATTAAGTTAAATAAAAAAAACCTTCCTATAGATGGTGTTATATAAAGATAATAAAAGGGCATGCACAGTCTATGGGGATAATGTCACCCACAAAGGGGCAATAACTGGGTTTAGGGGGCTGCAGAAGTCTTGGATATTACAAAGGTTTGTGCCTCTCCAAAGTTCAGTGGAATACAACAAAATATCTTACATTAGTAAGCAATTTCTCTAGTAAAATAGAATTATGTTTAATATAATTCTTCTCCCTGGGCAGAGATAATAATGAAAAAATGGTTGAAAATGGTTGAAAATACAGACGTATGGAAAACATACATATAATATAAAAATTTCTGAGTTCTCTCTTTTATCAAGCCAATCATAATGAACTTAGAAAAAGTAACAATAATATTTCAAAAATTATAATTAATCAGGTCAATTGGCACCAATTTGTGAACCAGGTGCCCAGTTTCTATTATCTTTTAAGCAGCATTCCAAAGTAAATGCAACAGACAAAATATTTTGACTTGTTCATCATCAAGTTCTTTTCTGAATTCATTCTTCATAATGTTTTCTTCTACATGCTCACTACCCATCACTATTTAATGGACAAATGTTATTTTTCAAAACAAATTACAAAACAGACCCTCTGTAGCTCAAAGCTTGACACAAATATTAGAAAACCAATTTCTTGGCAGCTTCAATTGGCCAAAGCATCTTTTTTCTTTGTCCTATGCAGTAACAGAGGACTAAAGGAAACATCTGTCAGTGAGCACATTTTGAGAATAGGCTACACTCTTAGTTCAGATACACTCAGAACAAAGTAAGTTTCTCAGTTGCTAAAATGTAACTGGCAAAGCAAACTGCAGAGTGTTCCAAAGTTAATCTGTTCTCAATGGAGGGAGGAGAAAAGAAAGGAAGGTGAAAAGCATGTAATCATAAATGACTTAAGAACAATTGCTTAAGAAATGATTTGGGAGCATATTCTATGTTAACAATTGGGAAATGTGTTATGTCTTCACATACATGCCACCCAAAGAAAATCAACTACTTAAAAATACAGTGTGCTAACAACCAGAAAGCTAGCACACACCCAAGTTCTTAGCTTACAAAATAAAACATAAAAGATACCTCAGTCAATTACCAATATATCAAAAGTTTCATTTTTCCCAGAATTTAAGAGCACACTATAAAGTTTAACGGCTTTTACTGTAAATTAGTATGAGTAAGCACATTCTTCACTAAATATTTTTGTGTTTCAAATAAAATGATAATTTCTAAAAAGTTATTAAACCATTTTGTAACTGGGAACTGATATTCAAATGAATTGACATTTTCAAAATTGAGCGCCTACTATCGACTCGATAGACATGGGTTTGAGTAAACTCCGGGAGTTGGTGATGGACAGGAAGGCCTGGCGTGCTGTGATTCATGGGGTCGCAAAGAGTCGGACATGACTGAGCGACTGAACTGAACTGAACATCTTAAGAAATATTTCTGGGCAAAAATACTATTTCCTTTCTTTTAAAAATAGGAAAAAATACTTATGTTAGATCTTGTTTTATATTAAATTTCTCCTTTATTGCCCTTAAATATGCCACATTAAAACCTAGTGCCACTTCTAAAATAGCAGAGTCAGAAACCTTAAGAAATCCACTACTCAAGAAAGCAAGAAAAGTAAAGGCAAAAAGATCAACTTCTTTAAAATTCTAAAAATTAACCAAAGACTTGAAACAATCTTGAAATAAGATGGCTTATTAAAAAAAATACTCTAAACTTTAATACAAGCAATAAGATCTGTAGTCTTTCAGACAACCAATTATTATCCCCCCTCCCCAGCTCCTTAGTAATAAGCCTGAAACCTAGCAGCCTCACATTCATGGTAGTTGAGAAAAACAGCAGCCCTCAGTGACCAGGAACAAGACAAAGATATTTGTTCTCACCACTTCTCTTGAACACTGTACTGGAAGTGTTTGCCAGGGCAATTAGGCAAGAAAAAAGATAAAAGAAATCTAGGTTAAAAGGAAAGAATTAAAGCTACTTCTATTAACAGATGGAATTACCTTGAATATAGAAAATCCTACAGAATACACATGCATACAATTAGAACTAATAAATTAATTCAGCAAGGTTGAAGAATATAAATCAAAATATGAAAATCAATTATATCCCTATACACTAGCAATAAAAAATCTGAAGTTAAATTAAGAAGACAATCTGCAGTAGCATTACAAAAATAAAATGCTTAGGAATAAACTTAACAAGGGAAGTACAAAAGTTTGTGCACTGAAAATAACAAAAACATCCATTGCAGAAAACTAAATAAACCTGCATAAATGGAGAGATACCCCATATATAGGGATCAGAAGATTTATTATTAAGACAAAAACATTCCCCAAATTGATCTATAGATTACATAAAATCCTGATAAAATTTCAGCTTCCTTTTTCAGAGAAAGTGACAAAGTCATCCTAAAATTCATGTGGATATACAAGAGCCCAAGAATATTCAAAATAATACTGAAAAGGAAGAACAAAGTTGGAGGACTTACACTTCCTGATTTTATGTTGACTATAAAGCTATAGAATCAAGATAAATGTGATACTGGCATAAGGATAGACATATATATCAACTGCACAGAACTGAAAGTCCAGAAATAATCCCTCATGCTTGTGAGCAATTGATTTCAACAAGGGTACCAGACAATTAACTTGTGAAATATAACTTCTTCAATAAATGGTATTATGATAACTTGCTATCCACAAGCAGAGAAATAAATTTTAGCAGATGGAAGTAATTCTTTTGACCTTGGACTAGGTAATGGTTTCTTAGACATAACAATATAAATATAAGCAACACCAAAAGAACTTATAAATTGGACTTTATCTAAATTGGTAACATTTTTTCTACAAAATATATTATCCCTTAAAATGAAGGGACAACACACAAAACAGGTCAAACTTTCTGTAAATTATTTATCTGATAAGGGATAATGTGAAAAATTCTTACAACTCAATAATAAAAAGGCAAATAACCCAACTGAAAATGGAAAAACATATTAGCACAGAGATTTCTCTAAAGTTTAGATATGCAAATAACCAATAATTACATGGAAGATGCTCAGTATCACTAGTCATTAGGAAAATGCAAATCAAAAACCACAGTGCCATACAACTTCACACTGGGTAACATGGCTGAAATCAAAAAGAGATAATAAATGTTGGCAAGAATATGGATAAATTGGAAGCCTCATACATTGTTGGCTGGATGGTAAAATGATGCAATCAGTTTGGAAAATAGTTTGCCAGTTCCTCAAAATGTTAAACATGGAGTTAACCTATGAGTCAGCAATTGTACACCTAAGTATACACATAAGAGAAATGAAAACAACAGTCCACACAAAACTGGTAAATGAATGTGCCCTGCAGCATTATTCATGTAAACCAAAAAGTGGACAAAAACCAAAAGCCCATTAATTGACGAATGGATCAACAAAATGTCGTGCAGCCATACAATGGAATATTATTTTGAAGTAAAAAGTAATAACTTATATATACTTGCTATATTATGGAAGAGCTTTGAAAAACTAGGTGAAAGAAGGCAGTCACAAAAGGTTACAAGTTACATGATTCCATGAGATATGAAATGTCCAGAATCAACAAATACATGGAGACAGAGAGTGACTGCCAGGAGCATGGAGACAGGGACCAGGGGAGGAGACTGCTAATGGATACTGGATTTATTTTGAAGGGGTGATGATAATGTTCTAAAATTAGTGGTGATGGCTGAACAATTCTACAAATATATCAAAACAACTGAATTACACACTTTAAAAATTGAATTGCATATTATGTGAATTATCTTCCTGGGATTGAACCCTGGTCTCCAACATTATAGGCAGATTCTTTACCATCTGAGCCATCAGGGAAGCCCATGTGGATTATACCTCAACCAAACTCTTATTTAAAAATCTAGCACTAAAGATTATTATAAGAAAAAAATGAATGAGCAAACAGAAAAAAGTTCTTAGTAGAGAGACAAGCGTCATGGTATTCAAGGAATACCATGTTAGCTATAATTAGCTGTAGTTACTGTTTGAAAACAAAAATAATTATCAAGATTGATTTTTAAATTAGAATAACTTAATATAGAACTTTTAATTTTTCAAGATGAATGCAATGTTCTTACCCAATGCTTGACTAATTTAATCTTGCAAATTCATAATATTGCTTTCATAAATAAATATCATTTGATAGCAAAAGCTGTAAAATGTATTTCATTATCTAGAGAGTCCTTTCTTCTGATACAATTCTTTGTCTTCATGTAGAATTTTTCCTGTGTCATCATAATTTCCTTTCTCTATAATGTTGTTTCTTATGTGAATGTACAAGAACTCATACTGAATTTTGCTGAAATTATATATTAAAAAACATGTCTGGTGTCAAAAAGACACTGAGTAACAAGTAAACAACAATGAACTCTAATAGTGCTTTCTGCAAAAATGCAGACCAATTTACAACACTGTGTCATATGTTTATCCCTCAGTAAAAAGCTGGATTTTCTTACATGTGTGAAGCTAAGTAGCTTCATCGCGTCTAACTCTTTGGGACCTTGTGGACCG